GGCCCAAAATCCACTGGGAGGAGCTTGGGCATTGGGAAAAGTCAGGGGGCCCCGAACTTGGAGGTAGCTCGGAACGCCTTAGCCTCGGGGAGGAGGTGCAGGTCAGGCGGCACTCGACGAGTAGCCTATCCCGCCGAGTTTCCAGGCCGAACTCGGTGGACTCTTCCCTTCGAGTTGCAGTTGCGCTTGCTGTGCTGTCATACTGAGTCATCACTTGAACAAGATCACGCCCACGTATACCCGTGCTATGAGGTCGGGCCAAACCACCCTCCATCAACACCCATATAATTTTGGTAAGAATACAAAGTTTATAAATGCAAAATCAAACCAATTTATATTTTCATGATGAATTATGGGCACTAAGAGGGTAGAGACAGTATTATAAAAAAAAGTGGGTAGGGACATAGGTAGTAGTAGTAGTAAAATACTATTTTACTAGGAAAAGATATTTATACATTGAAAAAAGATATTATTTTAAAAAGTTGTAGAGAGAGATTATGGAAAATTAAACCACAAACAACTCACCTTAAACAATAGCAATAAACTCATCTCTGTGCATAAGCTTAGAAAGCTGACGACTAAATGCTAAATGTGTAGGTAATTAACTCATGTTAAGATAGAACAGACAGAGTGCATATTCTAGCAGGTCGGATTTAAAAGGAAAATGCCAATACCCAATATTGGCCCCAGGCTCTCAGCTGGGTAGAGTGGATAATGGATACAGTCTATGTCGAATAACTTTGGCAATATTAAATAAAGTGCAGGTCCTCTCAGACTGGAACCTGTGTTTCATGCCTCCATTAAAATAACCAAATACAAAGATGAGAATCTGATATAAAAGTATTCCTGACAATCGCTTCCTACCTGATGAGAGAGGGTAAGAGAGATGCAATTGCCACCTCTATTAAAAAAAATAAAAAATAAAGATGTCACTAATTTTTCTGCAGCGAGTGAAAATTGAAATTTCGCACAAACGCCACGTATATCTTGCATTGCTGATGGTTTCTTATGGCTCAAGCATTGGATGCCTTAAAGTCTTAAACGTCCTCAATGGCATAGTTAAAGAGCATGCATACATAATTAGTGGAATTGGAATTGGAATCAATTAACAATTTTATTACTATTTTATTATTATTATTATTATTATTATTATTATTATTATTTTATTAGCCTTTAATAATTAATATCTTAGTATTTATAATGAAAATTCTATATTAATATTTTATTTTTAATTATTATTATTAATATTTTTATTTTATTATTTATTTATTACTTAGTTAGTAGTAATATTATTATAACTAAAATTATTTTTCCTACTCCAAAATATATTGTATTAATATTTTATTTATATATTATTATTATATTTAATAATTAATATCTTTGTTTGCTATTATTATTATTATTTTAGTAATATTTTATTATAGTACTATTATTTTATTATTAATTTAATAATATTTTATTACTATATTAATATTAGGGTTTTTGAGGGGTTTTGTATCATGAGTTTTTTAGTCCTTAAGGGGGAGCCCGTGTTCTATGCACCTATGGGTGCACCCACCAATAAAAATGTTACAATTCAACATTTCAAATTGATCCTAAAGTTAACGGAATTTCATCCATTAGTGACTTGAACCCAGTCAAACTAGACACAAGGAATAACTTCTTTCAGGGGATTTTATTTGAACTTCCTTTCATTTCATCCTCTCCTTCTAGCCCTAATAACGTGAAATCCACCAACTAGGAAGAAATCCAGTGGTAAGCAAAAATAAAAAGGTACTCTCACTCTCACTTACGAACTTCCTCTTCTTCCAAACTTCTTCTTTCAACCTCCGTAATAAGTTTCCACATCACAGTTTCTACAATAAGTTTTAGGGTCAACTTGTGTTGGTTGTGATGATGGATTGACTGAAATTTTACTTGCTTCAGGTTGTGGTGGGTCAGATTTTGGTGGTTTTATAGGCTCAGGGGTATTTTTTGGCGGTGGTCCTGCAAGTTCTACAATTTGGGCTAGTTCATATGGTGATGGAATCACCGTTTCATCGTGCTTTACAGCATCGAGTGGAGGATTTGTTGGCAAGTGGGTTAGTCTCGGCAGGCCTCTCCGTCACTATTTCAACCTTGATGGCATTTGCTGCTGTTGCCTCTGTAGAGGTAGGTGCTTCAATCTTTGGTAGCGGTTTCGGTCTTTCAGAGTCGCTACGAGCATCTAGAACTTAGAGAAACATCCCATTTTCCTAATTCCCATTTTCTGTGGTTGATTTTACAACTCCATTTAAATGTGTAACACCGAAATGGATCATCTTCTTTGCCTTGTATATTTCCCCTCATGTAGGGCAGAAATCACATCCTTTGTGTTTTGTCTTTTAGTTTGTTGTACTGAAGAAGAAGAAGAATTCTTATTGATGTCAGTGACTACCACGTTCACGAACGCTGGTGGGTGGTGAGTGGCCGGTGGGATGCTTCTTTATGTTAGGGCTCAGAGGAGAGGAAGAATTAGGAAGGAGTTCGAATGAAATCCCTTGAACGAAATCATTCTATGATTTTTTTTTGTGTGTTTTTGTGGGTGGTTCAACTGGGCTTCTTCAGCTAATTTCTGAACACCCGTTAAGTTATAAGAGTTTTGAAATGTTGACATGTAACATTTTTATTGGTGGGTTCACATGTGCAGTGCACCCATGGGTCTATAGAATGCAAACCCTTTAAGGGGGGGGGGGGGGGGGGGCGCTAAATACCCAAACATCCTTACATCACCCATTTCTCTCTTTAATAATATAAATGTTGTCTCTCTCTCTCTCTCTCTCTTTATTAATATAATATCATAGTAATAGTGTACAGCTTTAAATATTAATGATATACAATTTTGTTGATGACAATAATTATTATTTTATATTTTTAAAACAAAAGAATAAGAGAAGTACAAAAAAGGAGAAAATAGATAGATACCTATGCTAATTTTTGTAAATACAAATATAATTATTATTTTATATTTTTTAATAAATGGTTATTTTATTTTTTATAATTTTTAATTACCTTATTAATATTAATTATACTAATTCTTATAAATGGCCATTCCTAAGTACAAATTAAAACTAATTTTTATTATTTTCTTAACTTTTAATAGTTGATAGATAAAAACTTGCTAAATTTTAAACTCAAAACAAATTAATAGTTGATAGATAAAAACGTGTGATCCAAACCCATGTGTTTAAATCAGAACTTAAACTCAAAACAATGCACGAAGTATGATGAAATTCTTGATTCACATTCTGATCCAAACCCAAGCTGTCGAACATGGATAGCCAAAAATGTAATTCCATATTCCAAGATTATATCATCATCCTTCTAAAAATGATGGCATTGCAGTCTATCATGAATTAAAATTAGGAACTTAGTGAAGGCAAGCGATAGAAAGAGAAACTAAGAACATTGAAAACTGAAGAAAACAATGACAGTGGTATTGTTTAGTTTAGTTAGTGTGTCATAGTTTTGATTGTTTCATTTGCTTACTTAATTGGTCTAAGTGTACTGATTGATGATGTATCAACTGATTTTCATCCTCATTGAGAAGCTTTAATATAATTTTCCTTTTTCTTACCAAAAAAAAGTGTGTTCCACTTCTAGGCTTCCTGCCATTAAAGTGGATTCTCCCACTTACATACATGCGCACCTTTTCGCTACACACTATAGTGACCTTAATGGGGGTGCATGGGACAACCCTTTCCATTTGATCTGTGTTCCACTTCCACTTAAATTATGTTTGGTTTGAAGGAAAAAGTGAGGTCTCTCTCTTTCCCTTCCTTTCCCTACTTTTTCCTTAAAACCAAACACAGCCTTAGAGTAATGCCACAAAACAGAGGGCCCATCACTTTATGTGATAAAAATCTCAGGCTCACAAAGTGGTCACTGGTACTTAGCTTTTCTTTCACGGGCCTGTTATGCCAACTTGGGGAGCCCAAACCCATAACCTCCCAACCCTGCTACAGGCTGGATTTGATCCCAAGTCTCCGCTTACCTACCAATAAAATGGTATTTAGTGTTTGCTCAAGCAAAATGAATGACTTTTAGCTAAAAGTTAATTGATTAACATGCGTCATGAGAGAGAAATCATAATTGATAAGCCATAATTGATGTTACATGATCTGGACGTAACATCGATATCATGCGATTATTTGCAGCCATATAATATGATTTTGAGAGCATTCTTTTATTTGTAAAAGATTTTTTCGCACCATCCAGTATTTCGCTTTGATCCTCCATTCAATTTATTCACCTATCATCAGGCTATGTTTGGTTTGAAGGAAAAGGTAGGAAAACCTTTACAAACCAAACACAACCTTAGGGCTTAATTATGGTTGTATTTGGTATTATTGGTGTTTTGGGTTGAGAGACTGTTTATACTTAAAACACAAGTACCATCGGGTTGGGGTTTCCTCCTAACAAAATCTGACCTGACATTGTTCCAACATAATCTGTGTTCACATATCTCATCATAAGACTAGGACCCAGCACCATGCATGAGATGTGTGGAGACAAATCATGTTGGAACACGTTGGGACAGTTTTTGTTGGGAGGAGATCCAGACTCATTACCATCATTCATGGTTGAATCCTGTTTAATGGAAAATTGTGGTTCTTCCTAGAGCAAAAAATGTCAATCTTACGTTTCCTGAAATACCCCTGAAATGGATTTCCCATACAAAGAGTAAAGAGTTACAACATAACTGTTTTGTGACTCGACAATTTCCAGCATAAAAGAAAAATGCCTGTGGAACTCTTAAAACCCATGCGGCATTAAACTAGCACCTTGTCTACTACTCAAAACAGTCACAACAACGAAAACCTCCTAAAAGTTCTTCGTTTTGCTACGTCACAATTTCCAAATTTTCTTCTCACAACTTGTGTGATTTTAAAGTTATATATAAAAGGTCCAACTGCCGTTTCCATGAGAAACCAGAGTTACTGTAACACTCAATGTTATAAATGGAATGAATATTAAACAACTGAAAAGAAAGATGTGCTCCTACCTATTTAAATGCTATTTGAAATTGAAATAGAGTTGATAACTTGATATTGTTCGACATTGTGCCAAAATATCCAATCCTAATTAGATTCCAGATCCTAAAGAAATAATGGTGGTCCAACTCTTCTGTGTTAATCCTGTGCGCGTACATGCAAAGGGAGATTGTTGTTGTAGGCGTTGAGTAAAGCCAAAATCCAACTATTTTGTGCTTAGTCACCAGTCTCTGGGTCAGCAGTTTGACCGTCCAGTCCAAATGGATGGCCTATTTCAATTAAAAATAAATAAAATAATTAAAATAAAAAATGGTTAAAAATCATTATCTAGGTCAAATGGGTTGACAGTTCGACTGCCCAGGTCAATAGGTCACTGACCAAGTCAACATGTTTTGGCAAAGGAACGGTCAGGGGTGGAATGGAACCGGTTGTCTGAATGGTCCGACTGTTCTGATAGAACATTTTACAAGTTACAACCGAGTGTCCAAATATTCACCGACTGTAGTGTATCTAACATGTGGATAGAGTTCCGTCCCCTCCAAGCCACCGGATGATTTGATGTCAAAGTAAGTATGGTCGCCCCTTATGAAAGCAGAATATGTAAAAACCATTTCCATGTTGTTAGGGTATGGAGTCTCTGCAATGCAACAAAAGGAAAGGTAGCACATTATGAGTGGGAGGAGATATTATAATGTAACTTGTGAAATAAACACTGTAATGTTGAATATTTCTTCTACAAAGCAACCCTAAAATTTTCCTAATTGGTCAAATCGAATAGAACTTAGTTATGATGGTGCTTGGCATTGGTGCGTTTTCCTACCATCATGTTTCTCCATAATCAGCAATTCACCCCAACACTGCAGGTGCAAATTATTTAAGTGTTCTACTTTTAATACAAAAAAGGTGTACTACTTTTTTCACTATAAAAATTTTCCGTAATTAGGATATGACAACCCAGGAAAGTGTTCTCTTTTTTTCACTTTTCAATAAGCCACGCCAGAGAGGGTGTTGCTGCATTCTTATATAGAAATTGTTCCCGGTTAGGGGTGGGGCCGTTGTTCCTTTTTGCAGCTCTCCTTAGTGGTTGTGGATGAGCCTCTTCTTGTATTCTACCTTTTCTTTTCTTATTAATTTTTACCTTAACTCTTCTCAAAAAACAGAATGTATGCAATATAAATTTAATAATAATTGGAATGGAATTCAAAGTGCATTTAGGATGGAGGACCAAGAGATATCTCAATGTGGCCTCTTTTGTGATGAAAGAATACCACTTATGTTAAAAGGAAAACAATGTTGTATAAAGTTTAGAGTTTTGTATTTTGGCAAAATAAAATAAGTAGCTTTGTTTCCTTATAAGAGAGATTTACATATGGTTGAGTGGCTGACTTATAACTGATAATTACCTGGCCTTCACAAGAAACATGTTCAAAAAATGAGTGCAGTGGAAATGTGAATGCTGAGATGGATGAATGGGAAAATTAGAAAGGACAGGATCATTAATGAACTTATTCAAAGGAGCCTAGGAGTGGCTCCAATAGGTGATAAATAAAGTAGACTATTATAGTCTGGTCATGTGCAGAGATCTATAGTACCAGTGAGAGGAAGTGATTATGTTTAAGTTGAAGGGTCTAGAAGAGCTAAGGACATACCAAAAAGGAGATTAGTTAAAGTAGGGAAAAATGATTTAAGAGACCATAATTTAACAGTGCACATGGCATAAACAGAGTAGAATGGCAGAACATGATTCATATAGCCAATCCCATATATATACATACTGAAGGTATTATGTACCTTGAATATCCTTTAGAAGCTGCTCCTCTGGTATATAGACCTTTTCTAGTTTCTTCATTATCTTAGTCTCCCAAATCTCAACCAGCTCGTTCATGGAGAAAACATTTCCCGGGGGCCTAAGATACAAGACCTTATTCAAAGTCCTTGGGTCATCCACTGTGCTGATGGTGAAGGCAGCAACATCACTTTCCTTAACAAAGACAGCTGAAAAGGAATTTCAGTAAGTATTAGCCTTGAGGAAAAAAAGAATTTGTTACTGAAAACTTTCCTGGTTCTGATGAGTCAGCAGATTATTATTTTGGAAAATTAAAATGATAAAAAAAATACAATGGGGAATAAGGGAAAATAAAAAGAACTAAGTGAAATTGGTTAATGGACCTTTAGTGTTTCCATCTCCATATATCTTTACTCTGTCCATGGGAGGGGTCTTATGGCCCAGTTGAACAAGTGAAGGAAGTAAAAAACTAGTGAAGAAATTGCATGCAATGTAGGTGTAAGGAATGTTTTCAGATTCTATTGCACGACGGATTTCAGATTTCCTTGAATAGAAGTTGTAATCAAGATCAGATATCTGAACCTTATCAGGATTTACTCCAAATTCTGATGGAATGAACCTCTGCAACCATTGAAATATACAAGTTATTTTCTTGGAGACTTGGACAAGTAACAATTCCAAACAAATGAGAAAAGAAAGGAAAATGGGAAAAGGAACCAGCCTTTTAAACTTAATAGGACAATTTCAATAATACTTAAGGAGCATTGTGGAACTACATGCAATGGAATTATTACATTTTGGTAGCATTTTTTAACTGAAGTTCGTAGGTTCATCATTCAAAATGGAGTCGATGGGGTGAAATTGATGATAGAAAAGGAAATGTAATAAGAAATAAGATCAATTTAGGATTTCCAGAAAACGAATCATAGTTTTTATTGATATTTGAAGAATCACTTCATTTTAGAAAAATGAATTTGTACTGAAATGATGTCAAAAAACAAGATGAAATAGTTCCTACATATATTCTTCTATTAAACACATGCAAACATATGCAATTTCATCCAGACATAAAGTGAATTAGACTAATCCCTGATACCACAGGTTGTGCAGTAAGGTTGAGGGCTTCAGCAATCAGCAGTCCAATCTGACCTCAATGATGTATATGTTACCCTGTAAAAGTGAGCAGTTATCTATATCTTTAGTCCTTTAAATGTCTCTCTATGCACATGTGTGGAGAAAAGATTTTTAATCAGGTCAATTTGGAAATCTCTCTAGATGATCCAATTATTTCTGGCACATGAGGAATCCTGTGGTAAATCCAGACGGCATCTGGTCCTCAGTATCTGCCATACATTCACTCGGTTTACATTAGTCCCTACACCTGACTTCCATGGCAGTTATGCTTGAGTAATAATAGCAGTCCAAACTTACAAATTTTTAATTTGAAAAATTCCAAAGCCCAGCCCATGATGACCTCTACTTTGAGCTGTCCACTGCCTTTGACAGGGCACAAAGTAACATGTAGAGAGACTGGGCCGAATGGGCCTTGGTATCTTTTCTTGTAATATGTTATTTATTTATTTGTTAGCTAATGGGCCTATCTTTATGGGCCTGTTATTTCTTTTTTGTTAGTTCTCTTTATGTTACTGCCTAGCTGGCCGCCCACTTAAGGGCATACTTGTAAATAACCTAAGATTGAAGTTTAACAAAAGGATTAGAGTAGGGAGGGAAGAGATATTCGAACTCTTCTTCTTCTTCCTCTTCTTTTCTCCATCTTCTTCCTTTGTGTTGCTGTTCTCTATTTCTCTTCTTCTTTTCTCTCTAAATTTTACCAATTTTGTATCAGTTTTAGAGGACTGATTTACATCTTGGTATTAAAGCAGGTTTCTTCTTCCTTCTTTTTCTTTTTTTCTCTTTTCCCATACACCCTTCAATTAAAAGTGTATGGAGAGATAGGTTCTCTATAGTTCAGAGGACTTTTTGCCTAGTTGGTAGAGGGTTTGGAGAGTTGAATTCTGGCCAGAAACTGCCAAGAAGTGATGCTGTACTGTTTCTGCCCAAAACCCTAGCCGATTAGAGATTTTCGAAGTTACAGGTAAAAGTGAAGCTTTGGGTGTGGCACTCTGTGCTTGGGAGGTGCCTTTTGACTTCTAAAAGAGGGTGGTTCAGTTTTGGAAGCTCTGGTAGGAGTGGCTGCATCTTCTCTCTTTCTCTCCGATAGCCGGGCGTAGTGAAACCCTAGTTTTCAAGCATCTGGGTACTGGTTTGGCTTCAAGTAAGTTTATAAAGATCAAATTTTTGGTTTTTTTATTTTCATTTGATTAGTGGAGCAATACGGAAGTGAGTTCAAGTAGGTGCCGGTTTCCGGGCTTGGTTCGGTAGATTCTATTAACTGGTGTGACCACGATTAAGCTAAATGGAACAAATCAACAAATTATCTTGCTTGGGCACAGTCTATAAGGATTTATGTCTGTAGTAGAGGAAAATTAGGGTATCTCACAGGCAGTAAGATGAAACCCGAAGAGACAAACCCTAAATTTGAGAAATGAATGCAGGAGAACTATTGAACAAGAGAAGAGAGGAGGAAGAGAGAAAGAGAAGAAGAGAAGAGAGGAGAGGCGAGAGGACCGAATGCCTCAAAAGAATGCTTCAGGCGAGTGAAGCAGTTGTTATTTATACTATACTGGTCGTACAACATAAAGAATGGATAAATTACAGAAATACCCCTGCGGTACTAAACCTGTGTACAACAACATCTGTCAACACTCGCCCTCAAGTTGGGGCATAGATATCAATCATGCCCAACTTGTCACAGAGATCATGATGTCTGGAATAGTTTAGCCCTTTTGTAAAGATGTCTGCCAGTTGGTCTTCAGAGCTGACATAGGGAGTACATACTTTGCTTGTGATGACTTTCTCTTTGATAAAATGCTTGTCAACTTCGATGTGCTTTGTTCTATCATGTAGCACCGGGTTAGCAGCAATACTTATAGCTGCTTTGTTATCACAGAATAGAGTTATGGGTTTGCCCACTGGGAAACCCAACTCACTCAACAAATTCTTTATCCACATACCTTCAGCTACTCCGTGGGCCATTGCACRGTATTCAACTTCAGCACTGGATCTAGCCACCACGGTTTGCTTTTTACTCCTCCAAGTAACGAGGTTCCCTCCTACAAAGGTGCAGTAACCACTAGTAGACTTTCTGTTACTTTGAGATCTAGCTCAATCCGCATCTGTATAAACTTCAACTCTCAAATGCTCGTGCCTTTGAAATAACAAGCCAGTACCAGGAAACTTCTTAAGATATCGTAGTATCCTCTCTGCTGCTTCAAGATGAGTGGACCTAGGTGCATGCATGAACTGACTGAGGACACCAACAACATATGCAATGTCTGGATGGGTCATAGAGAGATATAACAATCTCCCTACAAGCCTCTGAAATTGTTTCACATCTTTAAGAGGTTCACTCTGGCTGTCACTTAATTTATGGTTGGGGTCAATGGGAGAGTCAGTTGGCTTAACCCCCATCTTTCCAGTGTCCT